AGACACTTAACCAACTGAGCCACCCAGGCGCCCCTAGAAAAACAAGGTTTTGTTTCAATACTAAATCTAGGGAACTGCTAAATCACAGAAGGGCTTAAGGCCAAATACAGGTGGGAGACCTACATACAGATTAAACCTCATTTCACACATATAGCCTCAGGGAAAACATATAACCACCCCCCAAAAAAGGTTTTTCTCATATACATGATGATGGACACATAGATATCCAGAGTCTGAGAGTCACTGAGTCAAACCTAGAAAAGCATGGACTAATTTTGCTCCACTTTTTAAAAACTATATACAGTACCAAATGATGTTAGCGATAAAAGGGTTCGTGAAAATATTGATCCAAAAAAGTGGCTCCCTTACTAATTTATTATCTGCAAATCCAGTCAAAATATGAACTAGAAATAAATCATTGATGTAAAAGTCCTTAAAGCTCATACTCAGAGAAGAAATGAACATGCTCAAGTGACCAGAATGACGACTAAACCCAGCGACGGCCAAATACAGCCTATGAAATGTCCCATCAAAATTAAGATGTGAGATCAGGAAGCAGATGGCACAATTCTAAAACCTCACATAAGGGGACATTTTAGGCATTTCTGACTGTTGTGCAAAAGAAAAGAAGGATGTTTCATCAAGCGTAACTCTAGCCAAGTTATGATAATAGGTTGCTCCAATCCTCCACTTGGCTCAGGAAGTTAACTGGCTTAAATGGGGGAAGCAGCTCTCAGTAGGGGACATGAACACAAACCCTAACTGTGCAAGGTGGAAAATCACTGCTGCTCTGGATGAATTTCAGAAGAATCAGGCTATTTCATGGGCAGAGGCAGCACTTCCTTAGTTGTATCGTTTAGCTGATAATGCTTTGTGTCAGGAAATCACCTTTTCTATTTGAGATTCCTTTTGGGTTTTTGACCCATTTTCTTGTTTCCCAGGCTGCATATACCACTCTTGAAACCTCCCAGACAATGAATAACAATGAATACTGTCTTCTCAGTGCCTAGCACTCATCTTTTTAAGACTTGAAGGACAGATACCACTTTTCTCACTTTTGTTGTCTATAAACCCAAAATCACGTATGGATGGGGTTAAAGTTTGTGAAACATTTCATTTACCATATAAAAGTAAAAACAGGGGCGCCTGGGTGACGCAGTGGGTTAAGCCTCTGCCTTCAGCTCAGGTCATGATCCCGGGGTCCTGGAATCAAGCCCCACATCGGGCTCTCTGCTCAGCGGGGAGCCTGCCTCTCTCTCTCTCTGCCTGTCTCTGCCTACTTGTGATCTCTGTCTGTCAAATAAATAAAATCTTTAAAAAACAAAAAAAGTAAAAACGAATCACCTTTAGAGCATGGTGAACAATACACAAAGCAGGATTGGGAGAGGTCTATTTCACACAACTGCATCTCAGTTTCTGCCCTGGATGAAATCCTGCAAAATGCAAGAGAATTCTCTGTTTCGTATGTTCTATATTCAGAGTTAAGAGATTTGTTTTTAAGTTTACATCTACTTCACCAATTGAACTTAAGAGTTAAAAACTCAAATAGCAGAAAACAATGCTTTTTTGGTAAAGAAAGACTTTTAAATTGAAACAGGTATTGAACAAAAACATCTAACATATTATAAAAGTTTCAAATTCTGAGAATAACTGGAGGATCTGAGGGGATTAAAATGCCACGTATTAGATGGTATTTCAAACTTATAGATAGGGAAACTGTTCTCAGGAGGACAGCTCTCCATTCACAGATTTCCAAGTCGCAGGTGAGACAATGAACTGGGTTATAAAATAGCCTCTTTTTAGAATAGAGAGGATACAAAATCAGTTTCTGCAACTCTCTTTTCCTCCTGAAAACCTTTTACTCTCAACCTAAACCTGTTCTCCCCTTCGGGAGTTTCTGGCGTACTTCTGTGAGTTGTTCTCCACTTCAGTGGCAGAGCCCACCAAAACGCATTAAGAGGATCTCTGTCAAAGCACACTTTTTCACTCTTTGTGGGTGCTCTAAATGACCACAACCATACACGTATACAAAAGTATACAGGTATATGCAAAAGGAAGATAAACCAAGAGCACTTCAGTATCGGTTTAACAAACACTCTCTCAAATCCATTTTAAATATCATGCACACTACAAATAATATTTAGGCATTAAAAATACACAAGACTTAAAAAATGCAGAAACCAAGGTGCCTGGGTGGCTCAGTGGGTTAAGCATCTGCCTTTGGCTCAGGTCATGATCTCAGGGTCCTGGGTTCAAGCGCCCCCATCAGGCTCTCTGCTTAGCAGGGAGCCTGCTTCCCTCCTCTCTCCCTGCCTGCCTCTCTGCCTACTTGTGATCACTGTCAAATAAATAATAAAATCTTTTTAAAAAAATGCACAAACCATCTACAGAAGCTTCTCTGCATTTTGTTACACCTCTCATCATCTCTTAAAGTGTAAAAGGTGAAAATCCAAACAGCCAAAAAACAACAGCAGATTCTGAAAATTATTAAACTACATCTTGGGGCACCCAGATGGCTCAGTGGGTTAAAGCCTCTGCCTTCGGCTCAGGTCATGATCCCGGGGTCCTGGGATGGAGCCCCGCGTTGGGCTCTCTGCTCAGCAGGAAGCCTGCTTCCCTCTCTCTCTCTGCCTGCCTCTCGGCCTACTTGTGATCTCTCTCTGCCAAATAAATAAATAAAATCTTAAAAAAAAAAACAAAAACTACATCTTACCCACGACTTACCTGTGTTCATCTCTGAGATTTCACCAAGGACATGATTCACAAGGGCCATAGCTCCCTGTTCACAAAATATTCCCAAATCCTTCACATAAATGTACAGTTCTGTGTCTAGTCTTGGCATGTTTGAGGTTAAAATTTGATCACTGGTATTTCATGGAATCAGGGCCAGGTGCTTCTCTGGTATCTACCACATTACTCTTCAAGGTTAGACACAGAGAAGAGGCGGTAGGGTTGGATCCAAAACTAAATAACATTCCATTCGTGGGGTACATTTTTCTTGATTCTGACCTCAGAATCTTGCCACCTCAGCAGCTACGTGAACTGAATTATCACTTCTACTGGCCCTGGAACTCCCCATCAATGGTTATTTCTTCCTTTAAACCATTTACAGCTGTGGAATATATTCTACTCTAAGAATATACTGAAGGTCAAAAGACATTTCCTATGTGCTACCAATGACTCATGATGGGCCACAGCCCAAGTCAGATAATTTACACTTAACAAGAAAGCAAACAAAAACAATTTAAAATATTATCACTTACTTCATTAAAAATCTTGTTTCTTTAAAACCCTAAACAAAATTGATCCCATTAGTAAAGATAGTCACTCATAATTTTTTAACAAGCACATTTTAATAACCTTTGATTCTCACACAAAGCAATCTAATTTTCTGAAAAAAGAAACCGCTACACAGAATCCTTTAAACACAGTTTGTATCATTCCAAATGAACAGGTAAGAGGTGTGAGGGACCTCTGTGCTCATGGGTAAGCCCCAGTTGTCCCTTAGGTCAGGATCAAGACCAGTTTACTCCTTAACTTCAGGCAAGTAATAGTGGTTCCTCAGTATACCCTTACAAATAAACTATTATTCTTGATAATGAATCTACCAAAGGGAAACAGAAAAGAATGAGAGAGAAAACTGAAAAGTAAACGTACAGTATAAACATTCCCATCCTAATAGTTAAGGACTCTAAGTAACAAATGGTACCAACTTTATATGTTTGAAAAGACTTTAGTATGTAGAACATTTAAAAGAAAAAAGAGAAATCACCCTTCTAAGTACTTTGAAAGCATGTTACCCTGTTGGTTTACATGTGAGAAAGTCTTAGGGATCACCAAATATGTAGAAATAGGAATTCCAAGTATCTCAGTTCTCTGAATATACAAAACCAAATAAGGCACAAGGACCTAAAGAATAAACCCAAAGTGAGTTTATAACGTTTCAGTTTATGTGATTTAGGACCCTTCTATTTTGTCCTGTAAGATAATTTAAATAGTTCTCTCTGTTGCATGTGTCCAAATTTATTCAGACTGTTAGAGATACATTCATTCTGAAACTTTAGAACACAACAGGCTCTAAAATTTTCCAAATTCTATTGTTGGCATAATCTGATTCAAAATTTAGAAGTCTCCAAAGAGACCCAAAGCAGGTTTCATTAAAACCCCCTGCTTATCTAACTGCAAATTCTAACCTGAAATATGAACAAGAACATATACTACTAGTTATAATAAATAAGTTAGAATGATCATTGGAATGTCCCTCCAGGAGGCCCTCAATTTTCCTATTTGTCTTTCAAACAACCTACCCTTCTGTGCATTACATACTGACACCCCTAAAGAGACTTCCTAAGCTGATCCCAGATACTCACATGCAGCAGATAACTAACATTTGTAGCTATCATACCTCACGGGTGCTGGTTTGTGTAGTTATCTGACCTTCTTGCTGCATTTGTTCTTTATATTTTATTTAAGTGGAGGAGGTTAAAAAAAAAATCAAATGGCTGACATGATACAAACCAATGGTCTTTAAATTTAACACAAATGGGACAAGAATAGAAATCAGGAGGAATGAGTAATCTTTCACCTCAGCTGGGTACTCACAGGACTTAAATCAGTGGACTGTGTTAGAATGAGAAAAAGAGCAAAGGCAAGGAGGAACAAGCAGAAAATATTGGAAATAAATTATCTAAGATTATGTCTAAAAAATGAAGCAAAACTGGGAATTCTGGAATGATTTAGATCGCTACAACTCCTCCCCATTTAGTCCACTAGGTTTTGCAGAACCATTTTCAAATACATCTTCAGGAATGTACTGAGTCTAAGAGAAAGGAACTTCTTGTGCTGGGGGGAAAAAAAAAAGAAAAAAAGAAAAAAATTGGCCCCAAACCAATTTTTTTTTGTATTTAGTGAATGATTCTGCATGAATCTGTATGAATAAAGATTAGAAAAAAATTGCCTTGGCAATGAAAAAATGCAAACCAAGAAATTAAACACTAATCTACAGCAAAAGTTGCTACACAAGAGACGTTTATTAATGTTCTGTTGTATTTACAGTTTTAACATAGCAAACCAAGGTGAATTACCACTTGGCAGAAAGCACATCATTCTACGTTTATAACTCATCGGTTTCTGCTAACACGTTGTAAAAGCAAGTAGTACTACAGTATGTTAGGGATCATCTCAAAAGTTCCAAACTAATCCATTCTTTGCTCCTAAGTACATATTCCCCTCCCTACCCCAGCCCCTAGCCTAATCATCAGGAGAAACCACCCCACCCACCCCTACCCCCCCCTCCGCCTAAAAAAAGGAAAAAAGGGGGGGTAGGGACTCTAATCACATAGAAAGTGTCAAGAATTCCATCTTAGTAAATAAGCTGCATTTGTCCTTGCCCTTTTTATTTTATACAGTGACAACAACTTTACAATTTTTTAGGTTCATAACACAGAACAATAAGGTACTGCAAAATTCAGAATACAGACTATAAAAAAATTAATACTTATTTTTTTTTACCAATTAAGAACATATTCTTGACCACACCTTAAATGTATTTTGCACTATGATTTTGCTTCCAGGTCTTCACAGTACAAGTGAATAAATTTCTAGATTAATTTTAACAGCGAGTATGGATTATGTGCAGAAATGCAGCCAAAACAAAAGTTTTAACTTTTGAGAAAACCCCCTTTAAAATGGCCAGCATTATACATATCTTACACTAAAATACTTAATTCCAAGTTCATTTTGAGATGGAGGATGAATAAAGCAAGACTGCCCCCTACTGACTACAGGGGCAAGGCTCATGCTATTTAAAATGACTACAAACAATAGATAAGGCATTATTAATACATCACATACTTGATTGTGAGAGATTTTTCAAACATTAACCACTAATGATTCAATGATTACAGAATTTTGCATTAACTATTAAAATTTTACACCTAGGAACAAATAAAGAGAAATGATCTTTTTCAACAGTACTTTTATTTTTTTAAAGCAGGTGATTATTCCTCTGTGTTCTGCATCTTGATTCACTTCCTGCAGGTGTTCTCTTGCTTCTTCAGAGAGAATTCATAAATGCAGGAAGGCCTTTGCCAGAAAACATCTGCGAGAGAAGGATATTGAATACTGAAACTCTAGTTAGCTTGTTATTTTGGCCAAGAGAAGGATGTAGTCACAAAAGAAGGCAGGATGTTTGGAGACACCAGAAGTACATTTTAACATAGCTTTAAGATTACTATATACTGACATCATACTATTCAATAAACATTAAAATTTCAGTTCTTAAAGTTACCAAGGACTCTAGAACAAGGAAGAACATGAATGCTTTCTCTAAAGCCCATGAGGCCAGGAATCTCTCTCTCCAAACTTCCTCACCAAAGAATGAAATGCAAATACCATTTCCTTCACCCTGCACCAAAATGCCACAGCAGTGACTGTAACTTGGGGGCCAGGACACAGTAGAATCCAAGGGCAGAGGTGATCTTCCTGATACACCTAAAACTACTGTTTACCCTGCCTGTTCTGCCAGATCTCACACAAAGATGTCTGATAAGGATGCCAATGATGTCATGCCGTACTATGTACTATGTACTTTGTGGCATGGCAAAGTTAAAAACAACTGTAAACTCACAGGTATCAGAGATCCTTCTTTTTAATCAATTAGGAAAAGAGTATGTATTTGGGGGCACATATATCTGAAAAAAAGTTGATAAAAATTTTTTTAAGATGTATTTATTTATTTATTTGACAGAGAGACACAGAGAGAGAGGGAACACAAGCAGGGGGAGTGGGAGAGGGAGAAGCAGGCTTCCCGCTGAGCAAGGAGCCAGAACCCGAGGATCATGACTGGAGCCAAAGGCAGATGCTTAACGACTGAGCCACCCAGGTGCCCCAATAAAACTAATTTTTTAAAAAAGGATATGAATGAAATAAACACTCTTAAAATAATGTCCATATATACTGTAAAGCCCAGTTCTTAACCCAGATTTTGAGGAAATTCTGTATTGGTCAAATTGTTTTGGTTTTCATGGAAATTATAGGGAAAGGACAAGGATCTCCCAATATTCATGCTAAAGAAAACCACTAAAGAGATACATGCTACCAAATAAATATTTGAGAAAATACGTTGTGGTACCCTGCACCAAGGAAGAGTTGGATGGGTTACTATGTAGACCCTTAGCTTACTTCTCCACCTTTCCAAATTCCTGTAAAAGCTCCAAGCAGCCCTCGTCTATCTTTTCTGCTTAGACAACTGCAACAATCTTTAAAAGGCTGACAAAATGCAGAGGAGCTACAACAAAAGAGGAAATCAACATATACTTTCTTAAACTGTTAACATTCTCCCAGATCCCAAATTCAGCCGGTATTCAAGGAGACCAGGACCACTGACATAAGAGCAACTTCTGTTTAGATTGAGAGAGCTCAAGATGTACACGGACAAGGACATATGAACACAAGGAACTCGAAAAACCAAGAAGCAAAAACACTTCTCCGCAGACCGACATCAAATGGGAGGCTGCCAGGAGGCTAGACTTCCTACAAACTTAAATAACTTCAGTTTTAGCTGTTTCCATTAACAGCTGAAAACTGATGTAATTGTTCCTATTCACCACAACACTAGACTTTAAGAACACACAGTCCAGATAGCTATCTGGCCACTTTCCTTAGACCAGGCTGCTTCCACAAAGGGGAATTAGCTTTAATAGCTCTATCAAAGTCAGCGCCATCTAGCAAACATTCCAATTCCATTAAGAGTGCCTAGACAGGTTAGCAACGGGTGATCTCAATCACTGTACAGACTCCAGAGGAAAACGACCGCTAGAGAGGTGCTCACTGCTAAGACCCAGAGGCCTGTTCAGACGGACTTGACTCACAAGTTGTAACAGAAACAATGGTGGCACACAACTGGAGGACAGAAGGGTTTTAGGAACTGTAGGCTTTATTACTAAACTGTAGATCAGATCACTTCAGAAACCAAAGGGACCAGGAGCCTACAGATCATTTAATTTCAAGAGGAAGACAAGTACTTCCTCCTGAACGTTATGTGAAATTTTTAAGCAAAAATTCCACTGAAATTTCTACTACCTTGCTGCTTTCTAAAATAGTCTAATAAACCAAACTTTAATTTGAGGTAAACTTCCTTTAGTAAATTGAGAGAGTTACTAAAGAGGAGGAGAAGATTATATGATGAGACAAATCAAAGCACTTAACATCATATGGGGGAAAACTTAAGTTATCTAGTGTTTAATAGGGACAGCTTACCAGGTCATAGGAATCATTTAATTATGAAGGCCTCTACCTCATTAATGTCAGGGCTTAAAAAACTTTCTTTCCTCAGGGCGCCTGGGTGGCTCAGTCAGTTGACTCACTGCCTTGGGCTCAGGTCATGATCCCAGGCTCCTGAGATTGAATCCCACATCATCAGGCTCCCTGCTCAGCTGGGAGTCTGCTCCTCCCTTTCCCTTTGCCCCTTGGCCAAAGGGTAAGAGTGCTTTCTCTCTCCAAAGCAAAACAAACAAACCCCAAAACTTTCTTTCCTCCTATTTCACAGGTGGTTAAAATAACAGAATTTAAAATCTACTGTGCCTATACATGCAAGTACTTTCAGAGTAGTGCTGGCCACAGTTAACTGCGTTACCACGTTCCAGCTACTGTAGCTAAACCCTCAACTACTTGGCAGCATCACTGGAAGTGGTACTCCACATACATTCATCTTCCAGGTAGCTGGTAAATAAGAAAAAGTATGAACACCAAGCATTTTGACCATTTCAGATAAGGAGATTTCTGAAAGGGATGTGTTTCTTTTTAAACACTACAGGAGCATTTGCATTTTGTTCATTGCTTCCTTGAGGTCACGCCCTTTGGGTGCTGAGGGCCCCACCTCTAGCAGTTCCTTTTGGCTCTTCTTGGTGTGGGGTAGGAAACCAGGTTTCCTTTATAGGCTTAAATGCGCTCCCAAAAGGGAACCTGAAAGCAGCCCCTGAGATAGTAGTACAGGAGCTTTAGTGTTTGCCTTTTGTAACAACTACTTTAGCTGATTAGAAAGAGAGCTTCTGGGGTCATTTCAAGGTCTGTTTGCATGTACTGTATTTTGGGTCGCCTGAAAAGAAAAGTCCCTATTCTTATACCTTTTTCCAGTAAAACGCCAGATCTTAGGACCACATGGGAATTAAGTTATTCTTCTGTTATGGCAAAGCTATTTTAAAAGTCCCTACCTATGTCTTTCCGGCAAAAGGTAAACCTACAGCTAGCTTTCAACTAGCAACAACTACATTAAATGAAGTAAGAAGTCTTGATGAAAGAAAATAAAAGCTTCATTCTTCACAAGATGGTTTGCTAGCACAACTCCAAACTAAATTAAATTTCCTCTGAACTGGAGAAACATTCTACATTTGGATCTAGATGAACAGTTTTTATCCCTGTCAATGGACAAAGGAAATTCAGTCCCATGGGATATTACAGCTTTTCAGATTCACTCTGGGGATACTGACAATTAGTAAGGAAGTCATTAGAATTCTAAATGTTGCTCTAAGTCCCCAAACCCCTAATTTAGAGCTCTGAATCCTCTGGGCATGTCAGAAATGATTTTAAATCGACTAGAATAGCAAAGTCAGACAGAAAAGGAAAGAAACCTACTATGCCCTACACTAGGGGATGCCTGAAGTTTCTGACAACTCCTAAAGCACAATAAGCCTTCTGACTCCAAAATACAGAGAACTGCAGGCTTATCATGTCTCTTCACAGCTCCAGGAGCATTAGTACTAAGGGCTGCCTACTTCAAATCATAACCCATCAAAAAAGACACTTTGCTTTACATTTAGAATACTCCTAGAAAACATTTCAGAATTTAAAAAAATCCAAACAGAACAGTAACAATTTTTAGAAACAGAAGCCCCTTGGGGCACCTGGGTGGCTCAGTGGGTTAAAGCCTCTGCCTCAGGCCCAGGTCATGATCCCAGGGTCCTGGGATCAGCCCCACATCAGGATTTCTGCTCAGCGGGGAGCCTGCTTCCTCCTCTCTCTCTCTCTCTCTCTCTGCCTACATGTGATCTCTGTCTGTCAAAAAAAAAAAAAAAAAAAAAAGCCCCTCAATACAGTCTCCGACAATACAGGAAAACCAAGAAGTTCAGGCTTTCTCCTAACCAGGCTGTTACTTGTTGTGTATTAGAAACAAGATGAGAAAGGGACACCTGGGTGGCTCAGTTGGTTAAGAGTCTGCCTTCAGCTCAGGTCGTGATCCCAGGGTCCTGGGATTGAACCCCATATCAGGCTCCCTGCCTAGTAGGGAGCCTCCCTGTGCATGTGTACTCTGTCAAATAAGTAAGTGAAATCTTTAAAAAAAAAGAAAAAAAAGGGGAAAGAAACAAGATGAGGAAGGTGTGCAATCCCCTACTAAATACTGAAACTTCCTTCTAACTGAAGAATGAAGAGAACAGAGGTGTGATCTCAGTCCATTCAGAAATTCAAAGCTACCACTTGACTAGACTAATGGAATCTATTATTTTTAAAGAAGAGAAAGAAGGGGCACCTGGCTGGCTCAGTCAGTAGAGCATGTGAGTCAATCTTGGGGTTGTAAGTTCAAGCCCCAATTTGTAGAGATTATTTAAAAATAATTTTAAAATATTGAGAGAGAGAGAGAGAGAGAGAGAAATCTGTCCCTCAGGATACTTCGGGCACCAAAAGATTAGGAGAAATCTATAGGTAATTTCGGCACCCTTTGTAACAAGGAGAACCATGGCAACCCAAAAGAATAAACTTTTGAATCTTTGGTAGGTAAGAGTTAAACCTAAAGCTTAGAAATAATTACCAATTATAATGAGATATGGAGAGGAAAGAAAAAAGATGACAACAGTAACTTCATAAAACTGCAGAGAACATTTGATAAGTCTCTAATTAAAGTCAGGATGTCCTAGACCCAAAGACATGGGCATTAGGGGCTAGGCTGACAATGTAAATGTCCACCTGTGTCCTAAATCAAATTCAGGATATGCCACACACTTTCAAACATGCAATAAAACATTCCCCTTCTCAAAAAAAAAAAAAAAAAAAAAAATCAACACGTGATAATCTTGATGATTACAATTTTCTTTCAAATAAAAGTACATACTCCCTTGAAGAAACTTACTTTAACAACACAAGCTTAAGTTCTTTGTATGCTTTAACTTTTGTAAGAAATGCCTTATGAATATACTCTGCTACCATGCAAATATCTGAACTTACCTATCACTGTAACAGTCTGTTACTTACATAAGGATACTTAATTATACATATAAACTGCTTAATGTAATATGCGATATTCAAAAAACCTGAAAAATGTTATCATACCATGCTTGAAACAATTTTTATCATATTCAAGAAATTCTCATATTACTCTGCTGTTTACAAAATTTTAATGCTATCCCCCATCACCTGGCAAATTAAATATGGTGGCTACTTTCTTTCCTAGAAGCACACATCCTGATACCACCATGAATCTTCAAAACTGGGAACTCCACTCTTAGCATATGATTACCTACGCAAACTGTGACTACCCTACAGAAAATACAGAACAAATTAATGTTCATGAAGGGTTAGCTTTGCGTGAGCCAACATGTCACTGGATTTTAAGGCTGTTATGAATTCTATAGTTCCACTGCAAATGGGCTTAGTACTCAGTACTTAGATACTTAGATATTTGAGAACACTGTCTCAACCTGCCTTTTCCTGCCTTGGCCTTCAACATTCCTTTATGCTATAATCAAACTGTTGTCCCTTGAGCGAGCTCCATTCTTCCTTGCCTCTATTTACACTCTTCACTCTGCTTCAAGTGATTCTGAAATCTTCCCCACCTTATCCAATTTTCACTAGTAGAAATTCTACCTACCACTTAACATTTATCTCAACCAGTACACCCTTTACAAAACCTTGCCTGCTCTTCAGGGGGCGGCTGGCTGGCTCAGTCAGTAGAGGATGCGACTCTTGATCTTGGGGTTTGAGTTCGAGCCCCACACTGGGTGCAGAGATTACTTTGAAATAAAATCTTAAACAAAAAAAGTTTTGCCTGATCTTCAACTAGCCTAGTCCCTAGATCTAACGCAAGGCTCCCCTCCACAACCCACTCATCCCCAAAAGTCTTAAGTAACAATGAGCTAAGTTCAAGAAGTCCTGTATCTTGGTACCAGAGAGATCTCTCTCTCGTGTACTCTTTCCCAAGATTCCAGAGCTCTTCCTTTTTGTAGCTACTGATGTAAGATGGAACAAGCTCTGGGGGAAAACTACATAGAAATCAAAGAGGAGCCTCAAATCAGGGCTTAGACCTGTTCTAGCTAGGCAGAAGAAAAGGCCCTTTCCCCTTCCTTTCCTTGCATTTGACCCTCTTTACCATCAGAGTAGTAATATCAGGGTATGAACCTAAGGAAGGGCACCAGGAAAGTCTCCCTAATTTTAAGAGATGGAAGCCTTGGTGAGCTTGTAAGTAAACTAGACAAAAGGAGTTTCTTCACACTGGAGCTCTGTGGTTTAGGGGATCTAATTAAAGCTTGGTGATTAGGCCTGAAAGGCTCCTTCCCACTATTTTCCTTCAGAACTGGTACAACAATAAGCAGTGGCTTCAGGATTCAAGACTCAAAGATCTAGAACCCCTTAGTTGCAGCCAAATATCCTAGCTCCCTGATGACTACTAAGACTCTGGCTTCTTCTCTATTGTCAGAATATGAGATGAGGTTTTCTCCTATGGTGGTTTTTCTAACTTGCCCTTTCAACAGCTTTTTATGAAAACACCCCTTACTAAACTAGAAACTGCTAAAAGGCAAGGACTATGGCTTCCTTACCTTCTCTGTATTTCCTACCACAGGGGGTATACTCTACTCTGAACTTGAACAGCAATCTGCAATGTATTATGTGATTATTCTGGGACTAAAATAAACTTTTGTTTTTTTAATACCTTTAATAAATAAAGAGAACTCTGGTCCTGGGGAGATTTGAGAAAGTTTCTGGCATCTTCCGAACCTTTGCATAATTGATAAATCCTCTGAGAAACAGGAGAAAGCCTGATTTAAAAAAGAAAAGTCAAGAATGAATTTAGTTTCCATATTAAGTCCCCTCCCCAGAAACATCCCTCTTGACAGCACTACTTCATTGTTATTCTGCTAAAAGCTATCAAAACATGAGTAATTTTCTCCAAAAATTTCCAAAGATTTCCATTTTTCAATGAGAAGACACAATCTCAAGAGCCCAAATAAAAGTCTTTTTGCACGTTAAGAACCTAAGTCTAAAAGGGAAATAAAAAATAAGATGGAGTTAAACATGTACATTTGGCAACTTGACACGCATCATCAAAACCTACCTTCTGGGTTCCCAAAAAGCATTTCAAGATAATTAACCCCCCACCCTGAACCCTGCCAAAAAGAACAGGTTATAAAATACTTTTCTGAAGTAAAAAGAGAAAAAAAAAATCCATCCCTTCCTGTCATATCGTTTTTTTCTGTCAACTGTACATATGCTGTCCACTAGATGTCAGGATCCCCTTACCTACTACAGTTCTTTTTTTTTCCCTTAACACCAATTTTTGTATTCTCAACTCTGAGCTCCATTTCTCTATTCTTAAAAAATATAGACAAGTAGGGTACACCTGGCCATTTATTTACCAGGCACTAAGGGAGTAAGACTAATTCTGTGCATCTACGCCAGCAGCTATCCATTCACAGTTGGCACCTCTTCTAACAATCTGTGGGGAAGGTGATGGGCCCCTCCTATGACACCTCACTTGCTCCTGGCCCTCCTCCATTAGAGCTGGTCCCTGAGTCTTAAGGGACTTTTTAAAAGCAGCATTATGGTGATGTAATTCACACAGCATGAATTTCTCTCATGCAATGTACACAGTTTACTGGCTTTAATTTTAGTATAGTTATGGAGCTGTACAACCAAGAATTATTATCTTTATTTTAGAACATTTTTAGTACCTCTAAAAAACTTGGTACCCATTCAGCAATCACTCCTCACTCCCATTCTGTTCAGCACCAAAAGCAGTAAGTGACTATAGAGTAGGGGTCCCTGAATCCTAGCAAAATGGAGACCACACCTAACCTATATAGAGGGGACACCTACAGCTCCACTCCAGTAAAAGGGTGGGCGCCATGTAGAAATAGAGGGCTGTTTTGCTAGATATTCCAATTTTTAAGGAAAGGAAAAAAAAAAATCAGACATTTTACATGGAAACTCTTGATTTTTAAATGATGACAGCTAATTAAAAAAACCTCTGAAATAACTGTGTAACAAACTAACTACAACTACTGGCTAGGCGTAGCTCACGGGCTGCCAGCTTCAGAGTTCTGTGTGTACCTACTGCAACAAAAGACCCCCAAAATTTCTGCAAGAAAAATTCCAAAAATGAGCCAAACACTGGGTTCAAATGCACAAATGATATCTGAAGCCTCACCATTTTTTGCTTACTAGTAAATAGTAAGATAGAAAGATTAATTCCAAGTATTACAAATTCATTTCCCATGAAACTTTAATATAGGCAGACAATCAATTCATTAGGTTTCTTTAAGTTATCTGTGTTGTCAACAATCAACACAGAAAATACTGTGAAAACACTGAAAATATGCTTAATGGCTGGTCCATTCAGGATCTGCTTGGATTTAGGCTTGGGGGGGGTGGGGGAGGACAGCCAGCCTTTTTCTTAAAAATACAATTCTGAGAATAAGCAAACCAAGAAACTATTCCTCCAAGGTAACTCTTCTTTGGGGCATTTTTATCATTAAGTATCTCAGTAATTAAGCAGGGGGGATCATGACTTCTCTTTCTGTGGAATTCTAATGACCATCAGCAGAACAGATGGTACCACTGGAGAGAATGGGGTGGTGTGATGTAAGACCCATATTTTCCAAGTAAAATATAGATTCAGCAATGCATGGTCTATCACCATAGGCAAAGCAGGTAGCTCCTGAATGTATTAAGCAACTCTTGATATGCGTGCTACACTGTACTCACTAGACCCATTAGCAGCATTGCCACCAAGGATCTTAATTAAGGTGGCAACAAGAAGGCCCAAGACGGGACAGGAGAAAGTAGTATCACAGAAGCCGAGAGAGGCAATTATACCATCTTCAACAGCTACAGGATGGCCCTGCTATAATTCTGTAGAAATGACAGCAGTGATGGTGGTCTGTTATTGTATCATACATATTCTTTATACAAGGAATGAAGAAACCACTATTATTCACCCCAATGTTCATTTCTTTGCTTTAAAGTGTCTTGAAAGAAAAGATTTTAAAATAAATACTTTATAATAAAAAGGATAATCTTAAGATGAAAACCTGAAATTGCCTAGCACTTTTTTTTTTTTTTTTAAGGTCTCCTCCTTATTGCTAAATAATTCTTATTCTCATCAGTATTGAACCAAGAATTCTGGAAACCCAATAATGATTCTTCTAGAAGTTATGTGTAGCAAGGCTATACATTTTGTTTCCTGCTAATAGATCCAACTGAACATTGGCCACATATACTCCTGAGTAGTTCAACTGCTTACAATATCCCTGTAAACAATTCGGGGTGGAGTTTGTGAACCCTTCTGTGGTGATAACTTCTCCAGGGGAAAAAACTCATAGAGTCATCTTATTACTGTGTCCCACTGGTCACATGGGAAACCTGAGAAGTACATATGAATGGGTTAGGAAAAACTGACCCCCACTAAGTGATGTTTTATTAACATGCACGTGGTGATGACAAACTAATCTTTAAGAAATATTTTAAAAATTATACTTATATTGCTAATATATTACTGTATTGTAAGCAAGATGAGGGGTTACTAAAAGTAATTTTACTTCTAAAATTTAACAATGATCTTTTCTCTCCTTTGTCTATGTTAAAAGCACTTACCTAAAACCAGGAACACCCACCAGAGCCAGTACTGACCATCAAAATATCCAGGGAAATAGGTGGAAAACTGAAAAATAAAGCAAATTAGTTTAAAGTAGCTTAGCAGGTAGAATTTCACATTTTAACTTAAGGGCACACAAAACAAGCTTTTTGTACACTAATGCTATCATTTAGCTCTCACAATTTTTTTAAGTGAAAATATTTTATATATTACTGACTTGTAATGATTATCATATACGCAGATGTATTTCCTTTTGTGGAAAGTCAATCTTGAAATACAATTTTGGGGGTGCCTGGGTGGCTCAGTGGGTTAAGCCGCTGCCTTCAGCTCAGGTCGTGATCTCAGGGTCCTGGGATCGAGTCCCGCATCAGGCTCTCTGCTCAGCAGGGAGCCTGCTTCCCTCTCTCTCTCTCTGCCTGCCTCTCTGTCTACTTGTGATCTCTCTCTGTCAAATAAATAAATAAAATCTTTAAAAAAAAAAAAAGAAAGAAATACAATTTTGGCTTTATAGACTTTGTTTTGAAATACTCGTCTGTTTATTTTTTTAAAAGATCTTCCCCACACAATATTCATCCTTCTAGAAATATGTGGGTTTTCTTTAAATATTTTATTTATTTATTTGACAGAGAGAGAGAGACAGCACAAGTAGGGGAAGCCGCAGGAAGAGGGAGAAGCAGGCTTCCTGCTGAGCAGGGAGTCTGACACAGGGCGCAGGGCTCCATAACAGGACCCTGGAATCATGAACTGAGCTGAAGGCAGTCACTTAACAACTGAGCCACCCAGGTGTTCCTAAAAATATGTTTTGATGATACTTTTACTTTGTCTACCCAGTGCCAAAACCAATTACTTTGTTCCTATTGTTCCGGTACGCCTTGATTTTGGAAGCTTTACATCACAATAATCCCATTCCTTTGCCAAATAATGGAACACTCTGGCCAATGGGAAGTCAGGGCTGCTGAAGTTTTCTTGTACTTCAAGAGCAAAGGAAGAGAATAGTTTTCTTTCTTCTGTTAAGCATGGCTGTGCTTCTGATGTGATGCCTGAAACCGCCAGAGCTGTTAGAACTCTGACGAGCAGCTATACCAACATGCTGATCCGGGCGTCAACTGTCCCTAATGATGTCAATGAAACACTGATTTCACGATCCTCCACAGCAGGACTTGTTTTCATGGGAAATAAATTCTCCCCGCTGTTTTCTAAGCCATTTTGAGCTCAGTTTTCTATTACTCCCAGACAAAGATATCCTGATATGAGTTGATTCATTCAATTCCTTTTTAACATTTCAGTCAGCTTAGTGAAAATTTTAGTTAAAAACTAATGTTATATGCTTTCTATTGGGGGCTTTTATATTCAAGAGTTTAACACAGTTTGAGCTTTAAAATACAGTATTTTATTTCTTAAGAGACTAACAATTTAAGATTTAGAGAAGGAATGAAAAACCTCTTTAGGGCTTGGGTTCTTCACCCAAGCCCATCGCTTAGCTGAATATGTATTAGCTGCCTGGGGGAAAAAAGTCCAAAACTTTTAATAGATTTTCAAAGGAACTCAAAATCCTAAAAATGTTAACAACTGGTTAGATCAATAAATTTGAAAAAGTCCAGTGGTGAGTCAACACCAATTAGTTAATAATGCCTATTTATGATGAATACATTGATTTTATCCATCAAGTTGACAAAAGCAATAAACTTACCTGAAATCATAGTACTTTAAGAGACTCGATCTTTTCAAGTATAAATTACTACAGCAATCCTGACTACCTAATAACTCCCAAATCACTAAAGATGTCTCTCTATTATAATATACTTTAGAGATAAGGCCCCTTAATGGAATAATACTTGTTAAACCATTTCGGCTCCCATTTTGCCATAACCAATGATTACTGGAGGGAAGAAGGAGGAAGAAACAAAGAGAAGGAAAGAGGGAAGAAGACACACCAAAACTTTAGCAGAATTAATGTGAGGGATGCTTGTTTTTGATGAGACACCAAAGAAGTGGTATCTTTCTTTTTATTACAAAAAGAACTAATTTCAGAACAAAAACACATATTATCATATCATAAACATTAAAAGCAGAGAAAGCAACTTGTGAACAACCTGTAGGATAGATGCCTTGGGACCACCAATATTCACTAGATTTAACTGTAACTTTCATGCATCAACCACCTGCAAATGCTTTTGGTTCAACTTCATGAAACCAGAAGAAAGACAAACCTAAAATCATTTTAAACATAAAAATAATGTTAAAAAAAAAAAAAGTCAAACATCCCAAGTTTTTCTACTTATTGTTGTGCTACAGGGTCTATCTTTTCTGGTATACAACTTACCCTGACAATCAGGATCCACTTAATTAGAGAGAGACCAAATCCTGAAATGGCCCCATATCTTCCTGCAGCTGAGGTGGTGAGGCAAAAAGACAGAAAAAATCCAATCCAGTTGAAGAGGAATGCCACTGTAGGCAGAAAAGAAAAAAGCCGTCAGACATGTTGTTACCCAAGAAGCAAGAGTGCTCTCTATACTTGCTTTTGCTTAAATGGCTTTTTCCAAGGATAAAAGATAGTCCCGCTCACCCACCATAACCCTTGCCCTACTTCCCCAAAACATCCATTCTGTCTTCTTCCCCCCCAAGAAAACCAAGAAACCATCTGCCCTGAATATCAGGTATTACACTGTTATGTCTGCTGCTATTCACTTTCAAAAATGCCTTAACATTCACCAAACTGTATACTTATGACTTGTACCCTTTATATATTACACTTCAGTAAATAAAATCTGATTCAAATTATTCATCCCCCTACTTCTATGAATTTTGACAGCTTACATTAAGGTTACCTCTAAAAAGTACTGTGTTTCCTTTATATATTTTTATTATAGGAAATTAAAAAATGGCTGCTCACTTCTAAGTAACACTCACGGAAAGTTGAATGCAAAATAACACCAAGTTAGGCAAAAAAAAAAAAAATTCAGTTGACTTTCATATGCCAGAAAATAGAAACATTAAAAAAAAAAATCCATCAGACTAAGGTCTTTTGAATTCCTACTCTACAGGGTCAGGTATGAGTAGGAGCAATGCTAAGGGTCTTTGCAAACCTAAAAGATGGGGCTCAGTTTATGTAAAAATACAGCATCCCTAAAATTGCCTCTTTTTATATTTTCTATAGCTATTTGTAGAAAAAGCAGATAAACACAAAGGATATTAAGATAAAAGTGAACTACGCTCTGAACATCTCAGTAAAAGGCATCAAACAAACACAATGTATTAAAATATTAGCTCAACTACTCATTTTAATTCAGTCAGATTCACCCATAAATCAAAGCACTCCAGTCTGTGGGAGGTTGTTTTGCTATGAGTAGTTACTTACTGAAAAAAGTTAACATGAAAATCCCATCATTTCCTATCCTCAGCTGGTCAGCATCATCAAAGTCATCTCTACCCACAAAATCCTCATCCTAAGTGAAAAGAAAAAGATTAAGTTAAATTCACAATGAATTAGTCATAGGCAAAAGAAAGGCATCAAGAAAAATAAGGAAGGGGATAAAAATGAGTACCAGGAGAAATTTTACTGCTTTGGCTCAATTCAAAACTAAGCATTGGGCTCAGTATGTGTTAAAAATTTCATTTTGTCATTTATGTAAAAGATATAATTAGAGAAAAAACAAATATTTCTTCCATCCCTAAAGTTTTCTAAATGAATCATTCATTTTATCGTCCAAGTTATTTAACAATGAGCTTCAAAAATTATAAAGTTCAGGGGTGCCTGGGTGGCTCAGTGGGTTAAACCTCTGCCTTCTGCTCAGGTCATTATCTCAGGGTCCTGGGATCAAGCCCTGCATCTGGCTCTCTACCCAGCAGGAAGCCTGCTCCCCACCCCCTCTGCCTGCCTCTCTGTCTACTTGTGATCTCTCTATCAAAAAAAAAAAAAAAAAAAAAAAAAAGAATTATAAAGTTCAATGAAATGTATTAACTCGTATGTGTCTAAAGCAAAGAAAGATACACATTTGGCTTAAATTTGGCTTACATTCTAAAACCACTAACCCAAGGGCAATTGGGTGGCTCAGCGGGTTAAGCCTCTGCCTTTGGCTCAGGTCATGATCTCGGGGTCCTGGGATTGAGCTCCGCATTGGGCTCTCTGCTTGGCGGGGAGTCTGCTTCCCTCTCTCTCTCTCTGCCTGCCTCTCTGCCTACTTGTGATCTCTGTCTGTCAAATAAATAAATAAAATCTTAAAAAAAAAAAATAAAACCACTAACCAGGGTCTTCTGGGGGCCCATAATATTATTATTCCAGGACCTATTAAGGAGCTCAAATGCTTTATAAGACCTGGGAGAAAAAGGAGAGCATGATCACACATGAAGAGGCCACAGGGCTGCCCACTGCTCAACTCCATAACTATTTGTTCACATTAGCATATAGATCTGAAACAACCTTACTTCCATGCTTACTGGCAGATAGGATCCTTTCCATCCTACCCTGAAAACATAATACTCCAAGTCTAGAAGGAACACAATCCTCATCAACATTAATGCCCATATATGTGGCCCACCTTTTCAAATGATGTAGGTTATGTGTTGAAATACTAAAAAATACATGAATACACACTTAAAAGTAAAAGTTAGATTTGTACACAGTTGAAGGTTCCCCAAATGAAAACAAAAACGAAAACAAAACTTTAGGGACAATCGAAACTCTCTCTACACAGACAGAAATGGGGCTGGGAAGTCCATGACAGGCCTGGGGAGGGGATATTAAAGAAAGGAAAGATGTCAGTGGCAGCTTCCATTTCTAACTTAACACATTTCTTCTCCTGTTAGAAAATTCTTACAATGTGTTTATGTTTTTTTATTTTTTATTTTTTATTTTTTTAAAGATTTTATTTATTTATTTGACAGAGAGAAATCACAAGTAGGCAGAGAAGCAGGCAGAGAGAGAGGAGGAAGCAGGCTCCCTGCTGAGCAGAAAGCCCGATGTGGGGCTCGAACCCAGGACCTGGGATCATGACCTGAGCCGAAGGCAGCGGCTTAACCCACTGAGCCACCCAGGCGCCCCAAATGTGTTTATGTTTTTTTAAAATACTAAATACCCAGTTTCTGACTTCATATTAGGAAAAATAAGGCTTTGTGCCTAATTAGACAGTAACAGATTTTTTACATAAATACTCAAAGATATACTACAAAAGGACATAGAAATATTTTCTAGTAATATCGCAGGTGTCTTCTGACTGTTCTTCCTATTCTTGCTATCTCTACTACCAGATTTCTCCTACAAATTGCTACTGGGTTAACGTTTCGAAAACACCATTCTTGTCTTACCATATCCCTGCTGAAAAACTTTGACTAAAAGAGTCTGTGTGACCTATGCTTAAGTGTAAATTCCTCAGCTTAGCATTCAAAACATACTATAACCTATAGTGTGGTCACAAACGCTTTGCTCAAGAAAAATCAATTACTACATTCACAGACCCCACCCCACACCAGGCTGGATTCACATCTGCTTTCTGCCCTTTTCCCTCTGGAATGTTCTTATCCATCAAATCTTAGGGTCTACTTCAGATCCCATCTTCCCCACAATCACACAGTAAAAAGTCACAGTTCTTAATGCTCACTGCACTTGTACTGCTGCTTAGATACTGGTATTTGTGGGCCTTTCCCCAGCTCTATTTAAGTGCTTATACTGTAGGAGTATTCCCTTATTCAAAGTTTTCTACTTCACCCACTGCAAAATACATAGCACACTGTGTAAGAAACTGGTCTACACATGCTTGCTAAATAATGTTTAACAGGTTCTTAAATATGTATACTCATCAAATAAAAGTATTCTAAGAAGCTCTGCTATTAATCAGAGCTAACCACTGCATCTATTTCCATTGGACAGTTACCACAGAGTCTAAAATGACTACAGAATACACATAGGATTTTAGAGTCTAGAACATCTGGGTGTGACTCTCACCTATGCTACTTAATAGCTGAATGACTCTGGGCAAATTACTTAATTAATCTCTCTGGGCCTCAACTTTTGCATCTGTAAAATGGGGATAATATAATCTCAACCTTGCAAGGTTATCATGAGGACTTAAAATAATATACTGGAAACTGAGCACAGTACCAAGCATGTCATTTGCTTCCAATAGAAGGTTATTACCCTAAGACTGTTCTACCCTTAGACCATAAGCTCCTTGAAGGGTACTAGTTTCTTCCGGCACCTGCAGGAAACGAGCCCATACTACTATATGGAATCAGCCTAGACTGGCCTTATAAACTATTATTTCTGCCAAGCAGTGGTTTCGGAAGCCCAACCACTCATAGTAGGTGTGGTCTGTACACAGTCCACTACTCTAAGTCCTGAACTTCTGGGGCCTATGCCACTGCACTGCCCAGGCTAAACTTCTGTTTTTATTCTTATTGTTCTCTCTGGTTTCCTTTCAGGACTGGAGTCTGGAACCCTGACTGCCCCTTTCTTAGGGAATGGATCCTACTCCATCATTTCCAAATATCTGGCCTAAGACCCCACCTACATCACCTTCAACCTAGATGAATATTTATGAAACCACATCTAGTCACTTGCAGATCTGACATCAAGAACAAAGTGTGTCCCAAAGTCTCCTGGCTTTCATCATACCCAATGTCTCCTACCGTGAATCACCATCATGCTAGATGGGATCTGAATTCACTATATCCCCACAGATGGAGTGGTCTGGAATGCAGGTGGCATGAGGTTCATTGAGACAATTGCTGGGGCCCTTTTATAAGTTTAATTCTATAAAGTTGAACTTATTCTTTCTATAGATCTGCCCAGCAGCTATCTACCTAACACCAAAATATGAAGTATGCAGATTTAAGGCAAAGTCAATATATCTGCTAAATCAGCCTCTGCTGAGACATTTCAGTCATGGCAGGAAAGCTGAGAAAATGGTGGTAAGAGTAGAGAGACAGGGAAAATAAGCTGGTCTGATTAGTGATTTTCTGCTGATTTGTACCTTTTACTACATCATTTCCCATATGAGTAAGATTTATTATCTCAAAAGAAAATGTGCTTGTTTTTAAAAATTAGCTGTACTTTTTACTAATCAGTACAATCCTAAGGAATACATCAAAAGAAAGTAACGAAAAGAACCTAATTTCCATAAAGCAGCCAGCAATTAACATGGTAAATTGGACTTACTCTTCCAGGAACCAAGGGGATAGTAGCTTCAGCCTTGGTTCTCTCAGCTTCATCGTAGCTGGGCAGCGTTGTCGCCACATTATAGGAAGGAGGCTTTGGAAATCCACACTCATCTTTGTAGTCAAAATATGCTGCAGAATAAAAAGGAAGTCACCATTATCTGACCATTAGCTGACCTGAGGAAAAAGAAGATTTCCACTAAGTCTGGCAAACAAAAAAACAGCCATTCCTCTTAGAGTACATATAGAATAATTGACTTGAGGGTGCCTGGGTGGCTTAGTCATCAGGCGTCTGCCTTCGGCTCGGGTCGTGATGCCAGGGTCCTAGGATCGAGCCCCACACTGTGCTCCCTGCTCTGTGGGAAGCCTGCTTCTCCCTCTCCTACTCCCCCTGCTTGTGTTCCCTCTCTCGCTATGTCTCCCTCTGTCAAATAAATAAAATATTTTAAAAAAGGAATAATTTAATTGAAATGTTTATGTATGAATATGAGATTGAGAATGATTTTTAAATTCATCCACCTTTCAATTATTTAAATTTATTCACGTAAATCACTCTGCCTTCCTTTCCAAATGTCCTGCTTAGATACTGGTATTTGTGGGCCTTTCCCCAGCTATATTTAAGTGCTTATACTGTAGGAGTATTCCCTTATTCAAAGTTTTCTACCCACCCACTGCAAAATACATAGCACACTGTGTAAGAAACTGGTCTACACATGCTTGCTAAATAATGTTTAACAGGTTCTTAAATATGTATACTCATCAAATAAAAGTATTCTAAGAAGCTCTGCTATTAATCAGAGCTAACCACTGCATCTATTTCCATTGGACAGTTACCACAGAGTCTAAAATGACTACAGAATACACATAGGATTTTAGAGTCTAGAATATCTGGACTAGAATAACACTTTTTCAATTGTTACATGTACGTTCAAAAAAGCATTTAATATTAATAGTGGCATAAAGACAACATTTAAGCCAAAAATACCTCACCTCTCTATGTGCAAGCTGTACCATGGTTTCCTCCCACTTATAAACAGGTAAACAAACTTAATAAAAAAGTCACAGTGTGGGCGCCTGGATGGCTCAGTCCTTAAGAGTCTGCCTTCGGCCCAGGTCATGATCCCAGGGTCCTGGGATCAAGCCCAGCATGGGGCTACCTGCTCAGCAGCAAGCCTGCTTCTCCCTCTCCCACTCCCCCTCTTCATGTTCCCTCTCTCGCTGTGTCTCTTTCTGTCAAATAAATAAAACCTTTAAAAAATAAAAAAAAAAAAGATAAAATAAAAATGTCAAAAAC